TTTAATAATAATTAGTATTATTATTTTTATATATAGTAATGTATACGTACAAATTTTTAAATGTAATATATTAGATTTTTTATTGAGTCATGTTACAAAACTTTAAACACATTATCATTAATATATTTATTTTTTATTATTTCCGTTTGAAAAAATTGCTTTTCATTTCCTATTTAATTCTTGCCATTTTGTATTTATTTCCTCATTTAGTGGTATCAAGGTAATAATATAGTAGGAAATTGTTACCTTTTTTAGAGTGCCGTAATATTTCCTCCTTTAATGGTAACAAAGTAATAATATAACATTAAATTCTTACATTTTTAGATTGCTGTAGGTCTACATTAATGAAATATTTTATATCAACCGTAGATGATCAAATCCTCAAAGATCAACGGCTTACAAAGGTGTGAGTTTGGGTGGGAACCGTATAAAGTAAATTTCTTTTTTTATAACACTTTAAAACCTAAATATGTATATGCACAATGCTTTCCTTTTTCGACTAATGAATGCACGATATTAATTCTGGGCATTAAATACACGCGGTATTAATTTTGGTAATTAATACCAATAGTAACAGATACACAATGCACACAGTATTTCCCTAATAGATTAAAATACACACGGTATTAATTTTGGTAATAATCGGGAATACACACGGTAATAATGCTGTAAATACACACGGTATTAATTTTGATAATTAAATAAAAACGCATTAAATACACACGGTATTTCCCTTTTTATCTCGAGTAATACACATGGATTAATAATAACCGTAGATTAAATGTAATAGATTAAAATCGATGGTCCATAGATGATAGTCATTGGGTGGGAAAAAGCATGGGGCATAATTCCCCTGCTTTTAAGAATAGGATGATGTATTAAAAAATTATTCAACTAAGTGATCACCTAGATAAATATGTAAAAAACTTTAATTTTAGATAAAAAGAATTCATGTATCATTCTCCTTGTTTGAGATGGTATGTTATAAACTTAGATATATAATGTTATTGTACATTTTCATATATAAATACTTTAATTATGTCATTATTGAAAAAGCTGGAATAAATTGAGAAAAGTTAGAAATGAATTTTTCTAACCCAAAAAAAACATGACCTAAATTGGACAATTGATGTTGCACTATATTTTAACAAGAACTTTTGGGTATTATGGAGTTTATTATTAAAAGATAACTGCTATTTCATCTTAGGTGTAGTGAGCTTAGAATTATAAGTGATATTTTATAACTTTTAGACACTATTTGGAGTAGTTTTGAGTCCTAATTAAATTTGATTTTCACATTTTATTTTAATTTTTTGAGTTACTTTTGGTAGAGCGGTGCTATGCTTGCTTTTATAAGTTTTGTAGGTATTTTGAGATCATTTGAACGCAATAAGACTGATTGTAAAGATGAAAAATAAACTTGGAAGCTTGGGACCAAAATAAATTGTAGAGAATTGAAGAAAAGAAAAAAAAACAAGTGATGTACACATATTTTATACACTTTTTAGACACTATTTGGTGTGGTTTTGAGTCACAATTGATTTGATTTACAAATTTTATTTTAATTTTCTGTTTTATTTTGATAGACCGGTACTATGCTTGGTTTTATATATTGTTTTGCAGGTATATTCTGAAGTCATTTGAACGCAATGAGACAGATTGTAAGGACGGAAAACAAACTTAATAGCTTGGAACCAAAATGAATTGAAAAGATTTGAAAAAAAGAAACAAATGAATAAAGAATTGAACTCTCACCCCCACGGAAAAAGAAGTGGATTTCAGACCAGCCCGCGAGATACATCATTTGGTATTATGTAATTAGCAACTCCAATTTCATGCGCGCTACTATATCTGTGTTAACATTTTATGCTACTGTTTGTCTATACTCTATATATACGAATTTATCTATAAAAACTCTCTCCTCTCTGCTTCTTAAGGTTGAACTCCTCAATTTCCACTCCCTCCAATTCCGAATTTCTCTCTTCTTCTCTCTAAAATCTCTCCACTTCCATCTTCCAAACACACAAAAATCACCTCATCCTCATCATCATTAACACCATCAATTAAAATTCGAACTCAACAACACATCTTCAATTTTTGTAGGACTTTTATGATTGTAATAAATATTTATTTGTTTAAACTTCAAACTATGAACTTCTAAATTCTTTTGGTGTTAGAAGTTGGTGTAATTAATTGTCCATCTTAATGTTTTAAATATTTTTAAAATGGATTATTGATTTTATTTTTATTTAGATGTTGTATTTAAAAATAAATAAATCTTGAATATTTGTGATTTTTAATTAAGGACCCAATCATAATTCATAAACATAGTTGTTAAAAGGATTGTGAGCTAAAATTGATATAACCATAAAATAGAACACTTTTTAAATACACCGTAAGCCTTCTCTACCTTTAACTGGAATTGAAGACTTTCGGGTGGACATAATTATTGAATTGTATTTTTACACCATTTAAAATTGGGAATTTATACAATAAAATAATTGTGGATGTCATTGTGACTAAATTATTACTCCTGATTTATCATTAGCGTGTTAAAGTCGAAGTAGTTATTATTTAAGTGAACTACGAGAGCGTCCCTAAATATTTTCTGCAACCCCGCGGCCCACACATTCTATATAAAAATAAGTTGATAATCCAATTTTTATAAAAACAATGGACAATTAATTTATCAATTTCTATCCCTAATCTTTCATCATCAAAAACTTTTTGAAACTCTCTCTTTTTCAAACTTTTTATTTTCTCTTAAACCAAAAAGACTAAAAAAAATACAATCCAAAAAAAAAAGATTAAAAATATTTTACAACTTTTTTTTAAACTTTTATTTAAATTAAATTAACTCACATCACCCTGAGGTTCGAGACTCTACTTACAAGTATTCTTTTTAATTGTAATGTTATAGTTAGCCATTTGAATATCTAGAATCCAACTTCTAGACTAAACATCATAAGCTATAAGTCACCGGTATTGAAATGCCCAAGTATCAAATTTTAGTTATAATTAAAAGGAAAAATTACCCAAAATAATCTCAACTTTACCTGGTCTTTCAAAAATAATCCCACCTTTCACTGTGATGCATAATAATCCCAACTTTCTTCAAATTTTCCAGTTTTGGGTCGCCGTTAAGTTTCTAACGGAGGGTTAACGGAAATGCCCATTTTAGGCAACAAAATGAAGGTTAGGATTATTTTTCATGATTTTTCATTTTTTTATATTTTTTTTTAAATTTTTCATTTAAATTTTTTAAATTACTTTCTACCTCCATCATAATTTCTTTTTTCCTTTTTTAAAGATTAGTCTTAGTTTAAAAAATAAAAATAATAGATATAAAAATGAAAAAATGAGAAATGTAACTAAAATGATACAAAAATAATAAAATAAATAAGGTAATCAATGAAAACTAACTTGAAATTGGTAAAAGTAAAATAAAAATATACGGATGGATTTTAATATTTTACGCATTATACAAAGTATTAACATATTATTTCTTATTTTTTAGAAAAAATTATCTACAATAATTCTAACTTTACTGGACGGCTTGTTCTTTTAAAAAAGAAGTTGTACATTAAGACTCCGTATAGTGTATAAAATGTTAAAACCCACCACTCCGTATATATTTATTTTATTTCTTACCAGTTTCTGTTTAATTTCTATTGATTGCATTATTTATTTGATTAATTTTGTATGGTTTTAGTTATTTTTTCATTTTCATTATTTTTTATATCTATTTTTTTCGAAGGTAAGAATAATCCTTAAAAAAGAAAAAGAAATGGAGGTTGAAAGTAATTCAAAAAATTCAAATAAAAATTTCAAAAAAAAAATTAAAAAAAAATTCATCAAAAATAATCCCAACTTTCATTTTGTTGCCTAAAACGGGCATTTCCGTTAACCCTCCGTTAGAAACCTAACGGTGACCCAAAACTGGCAAATTTCAATAAAGTTAGGATTATTATGTATCACAGTGAAAGGTGGGATTATTTTTGAAAGACCGGGTAAAATTGGGATTATTTTGGGTAATTTATCCTAATTAAAATGATATTTAGACTTGAAAGCATCAATTCTCAAATAAATTGTATTAAAAATAACTTCAGACAAGCATGATAAACCAAAACAAGCACTTTAGAATGAGACAAATGGAGTAAGAGATAAGCGCCAAGTCAATAATTTAAAATGCAACAGTGCTGAAAGGATTGTACGGTAAATGATTCTGAGCAAATTCTAGGCAAAGTTTCCCTTGATTCTTGTTCAGTATCCATGCATTCATAAAGTGTGCAATTTAGTTTCTGTTAATGAGATTGCTTTCTACAATATACTTTACTCTGAACTAAAATGGAATAATAAACATATCATAGTCTTAAACTTTGGTATTTACCAAAAAACAACAATCTAACATGGGTGAGAAAAAGGATGCCCATTTTCCAAATGTTGCAGATTCATCTGTTTTACCACACTAACCTTTAGAGTGTGCCACAAAAGGTTAGTGTGGTATACGTTCGGTTTATTTATTTACCACACCAACATTTTAGTGTCACTCTTGAGCTGATTTCTCTTAAGGGAATGGACTCAAAATCCTCAACTTCATGCACAAGTCTAACCCAACAGCAGCAAACAGGAAAACCAGCAGATTATCAGAGATACACATAGCAGCATGAGAAAAGAAGGTTGCTGGATCATTTAACTCCAAAGGGGATCCATTGGTCAACTCTGCAAGGCCTGCAATCACAAGTGCAAAGTTATAAATTATAATTAGCACCACCTAGAGCTAGAAGCTCTTGTCATGTTGTAACAATTCTCGTGTTTCGGATATTTCTTCTGTAAATTATGAAAAACCAAAAAATATGGTGTTTGCACACGTCACATTTTCGGATTTGTTTTATTTTCTGGGAGGGGGTGTATTTCCATTGCTTATTACCTTTTGCCAAACCAAAAGCCGCAGGTGTTCCAGTCTTGAGCCAAAAATTATCCAAGTCTCTAGTAAACATATAGCGAAAGGTTACTCCAAACAGTGCACAACTAATAGAAGTGATCGCCAATTGGAGTATCAGCTCATCCATGGTGGCGACCCGAGTTAATGAAATGGGAAGCCCTGCAATGGTGCCAACAACTGCAGAAATCAACGCAGCATTAAAAGATTCTTTTCGCTTGTCCATTGTTTCGTTTTCTATTCCTTTCAAAGCCTTTCTAGAACAAAGATTTCGTTCAGCCTCTTCAACCATAAGTAATGCTTCGGAAATGTCTTTTTGGCATTCTGCAATCTTCAAATTTGAAATCACTCAATACCATTTGTAGAACAACAACAATAACAAAGCCTTGTCCCAAGAAACTTGGGGCGCACTACATGAATCAAGAAGAGGATCACGTTCAGTCATTCTAAACAATGCTCTCTCACCATTTGTTTCTACCCATAACACTCTTGTCCAAGTTCAGATTAGATCACTTTTAATCAATCACATCCCTTCAAGAATCTTATGGAGTGTAAAGTACAAGTATTACACTAAAAATGAACGGTACTCAAACGGAGGTGAAAACACACCAACATTTCCAAATTTTATAAAGGATTTGAACAACATTTCCAAAAAAAACCTGTACATAGGTGAAACCGTGAAACTTAGGTACTCTCTCCATCTGGATTTAGTTGTCCACTTCAATGTTTTTCTTATTCAGGAATTAGTTGTTCAAATTCCATATTCAAAAAAGAAATTATACTAGAGATGTAATAGCATTGTTCACATGAATCACTGACAAACCCATTTGGAAACTTACTTCGTATTAGACATTTTAAACTTATTTCTTCAAAAAAGAATGTTTTTAAAAAGTAGAAAAAAGTAAAAGAAGTTCAAGAAAATAACATTCAATAGAAAGAGAATTAGGAGAAGCAGACCTCTGAGGCTCTGTTTTCAAGCTGGCGAACGTAAACCCTAACCATCTTGGCTTCAATTTCTCGCCTTTCAACCTCAGCAAATTCTTTCTTGGCAATTTCCACTCTCATGGTCGCCTTTTCCAACCCATCAAGCAAGGCCCGGTTCTCTTCCCGACCCAGAAGTGCCTCCACTCTCCCGTCCACCATACCAGCCAAAGCACCCTCCAAACCGCAGGGGGCTCGGACAGCCTCCGACGAGCTACCATCACCGCCGATGCACCTGACGGTTGGAGAACGAAGAGCAGAAGAATGGTAATAGAGGGCTGAGAATTTGAGTGGGCTCAAACAGATTTGATGATCAGTGAATAAGATGACAGTTTTCTGGATCTTTGATTGAGGCAACAAAGGCTTCAAAGACGCGGTCACAGTGGCCTCCATTTTGTCGCCACTAAACGCGTGTTGCATTTGGGACTTTGAGAACTCATATAGTCTTAGTCTTAGTCTTAGTCTTAGGTTGTACATCGAATTCAAACTATGTAATTGAAATTGAGGGTTTCAATTTCAATTCTATTGTTTGGTAACACAAAATTATGTAGATTTGGAATTGATAATGCAAAAAATGAATTGAAATTGACAGAATTCAATTCTATGGAATTGAATCCCATGGAATTACAATTCCAATCCAATTCCAATTCTACCAATTCCATATACCAAACGGACCCTTATGGTAATTACAACTTTGGGCCTGTTTGGGAATTGCGTTGGCGATTAGCGTTACCTTTTTCAAAAGGCTATTTACAGGCAGCGTTTAGCGTTATCGTTTTCAAAGTAATCTGCACCGTTAAAATTTTATCCAAAACGCTAAGGTTAATCTCTAACGATATTCCCAACCATACCCTTTGTTTTCTAATTTTTAGGGCTTAAACTCTTAGCTTTTAGTTTCTTTTAGTTTTTTCCAAATCCTTTCAGTTTCTCCCAACTATTCTCATTTAGTTCAAACTCTTTCTACTCCCCAATTAATTCCTCTAAAAACGATATATTTTTATTACTCCCTCCGTCCCCCTGTATTTGTCCACATTTGACTTTTGGAACTGTTCATCTAAGCACTTTGACTCATCAAATTCTCTCAATGTGTAAGCCTAAATATAGTCATGTGTGATCTTGTTTGATTTATCTTAACATATAAATTATTAATATATAATTTTTATAATTTTTTAATATACAAATTATAAGATAAAATGGATTAAAGAAGTGCATTGGATGGTGTGCAAAAATGAAAGTGGACAAATACAGGGGGACGGAGGGAGTATGATTATTATTGTTGTTGTTGTTGTTGTTGTTGTTGTTGTTATTATTATTATTATTATTATTATCATTGGAACTATTATGTTCATAACTATATTTTATAAATTATTGTATTCATCTCACTAGTTTTACGATTCACACTTTTTATTTTTTCTTCCACTTTTTAATATGAATAAGACAATTTGTTGTATATTAATCTACAATATAAAAAAGGAAAACATAAATATTTTACACTATATTAAAAAACTATGGATAAAATAGTTACATAAAATATTTTATTAATCTAACTTTATATAAGACCCCTCACCTTTCCCTTTATTACTCAAATTTTTCTCATTTCTCTAATTTTAATAAAAAAAATTGAAAGTCAAAATAGTTTAGAGAAAAAGAATAAAATAAGTGTAAAACATAAAAAATGTGAAAAAACATTTGGAAGAATGACCAAAGTAGGACTAAAACATTGAAAATATACCAAAATAGAACTTCTATATTTTTATTCTCGAAATAGGACATACATTACCAAACATGGTCATATATATTACCAAAAAAGTATAGTAATATGCACATGTACACTGTCACATTACCACAGTGCAAAGTTCTATTTCGAGAAAAAAACATGAAAGTCCTATTTTGGTACTTTTTCTATGTTTTAGTCCTATTTAGGGTGATTTCTAAAAACATTTTATGTCTTTATTCCAAAAATAGGAGTTACAATGAAAATAAAATGTCAATCATGAAAGGAAAAATATGTTTGAGTACATTATGTGACATGTGTGATATTTAAAACAAAATCTTGTAATATATAAAATATAATTACAAATATATTATTTATCATAAATACTGCATAAATAAGTTGAGGTGGAAACTAACCACATTAACTTTTTAAAATTTAACATTTTGATATTTATTCTTACTTTATATTATAATTTTTTTTTGCAAAAGTAGTTTTTTTGTGTATGAGAAATGGCAATACTTTTTTATCTTAAAGGCATTCATTAAGATAACATGATGATAATGATGATGATGATGGTGATGATGATGATGATAATAATAATAATAATAATAATAATAATAATAATAATAATAATAATAATAATAATAATTTATAACAACAAGAATTAGAATGAGAATAATATAAAAATACACTAAAATAATTTTTTAAAAAGTTTTTAGGTTTTCCAATTTTTTGAAGTTTTTCAAATTTTTTCCAGTTCCTTTCAGTTTTATGCAGTTCCTTTTAGATTCTTCAAGTTTCTTCAAGTTTGTTCCACTTCTTCCAGTTTCTTCCAGTTCCTTCCTGTTTCTTAAAGTTTTTCCAACATCCAACTCTTTTTTTCCAGTCCTAAAGAACAGGCTCTAAGTCGCATTAGAGCATCTCCAACCCAAAGGGTATATGTTAAAATTTACACTTTATACCATTTATTTTTAATTTTTGCCACTCCAAGGCAGAGTGTAAAAGAATAGGTAAAAACCAATCCTTTATATATATAAATCAAACACTAAGCTACAGGAAGGCGACATTTGGCGGAGTTGTGGTGCGACATTTGGCAAATCTGATGTGTCACTTTTTTGGAAAACTAAATCTGATGTGGAAGTTGAGAACCCTATCACACAACCTAAACCACCGAAAGAGGAAAAAAAAGAAATCTAGTTTCCTCCGTTTCTTCGCGATCTGGCAAGAATCGCACACGCCTTTCCTTTTCTTCCACAATTTAACCCGTGATCATCTCCTTTCCTTTTCTGGGCGAAATCAAACACATAGCAATGTAATTATGCAGATTTCATTCCATAACAACCACGAATCCAACGATTCGATTATAATCATTGAATGGTTTAGGTGTATCAATCACAGCCCAATTTCCGCGTATGAACGATTTTTTCGTAAAATAAAGTATTCTTTCCTTCAATTTGTTTACTACCGAGCATTGATGTGGGGTACATTTGCATTAATTTTATTTTCCCGAAATTGTTAGGGTTCTTAATTCTTTCCCCAAATTGTTATGCTTTATATGTAAAAAGGATTTCGCGTTTATCTACTCCACAGCTTCTGTAACGCCACAAAATATGTCCCGAAGAGACGATTCCAACGGTACATTTTATGAATCAATCTCATTTATAAATTGCAAGCTATGACAATTTTAAATATTAAAAATTGTAACTTTGACTCATAAAATAAACTCAATTCAAAAGAGATTTCTTAAGATTAGAAATCTAAATCTTTGACATTTGACAACACCATATTTATCTTTTGAATTAAATTCATATATTTTTATATCATTTATATTATTGAATTAATTTATGACTGAGACAGATCCAAACACTGAGAAAAATAAAAGTTCTCAGAAAAATATTTTGATTACGTCAAAATTCTAGTTTTGACAGTCTGATTCCAAAAATACAATTTGTTTTCAATTCGGAACAATTTGAGCGAAAAAACGCGTACCGTTTTAGTCAGTTTATCAGTTACAGAGTAAGAGAATAAATTTGATTCCCCAAAATCCTCCAAGTCACGTAGAGACACTCCCATCCCTTCCAATCCTCAATCAAACCAACCCCACTACCATATACCTCCAATTCCTTTTCCCTATAATATCACCCTACCACCACCATCATTATCTTCCACTCTCATCACCATCATCCACCATCATTCATTCATCCATCCATCCCTCTCCATTCTCTCCTTGTTGGCAGTCCAAGGAAGGAGAAAACACAGTAGCAATACTCCATGAAAATATGCTAAGGAAGAAGAAGAAGGAGCAAGAAAAACCATTCAAGTGTCCAAAATCCTGAGCATAAGACAATCAGTCCAATTGTGAGTCAATTCTGAAATTTTCCGTTCATTTTCTCAAAATGTTTATTATACCAAAGTTGTAGCCCCGGACGTTACGAATCCAACCCAACAAACGGCTCGCAATTTCGTTAAGTAACGAAGAAGATATGGCCAAAATACCGGGACTGCACCAGTGGTGGCGAGCTCCTCGAGTTGGCATGTTTTTCTTCACCAAAATTCACATTATTTCATCCCAAATACTTACCATAAACTCTCGAACAATTATTAGGAACATCCGGAAGGTATTGCAAAGAAAGTTCGGCGTTAGAATATTGAAGTTAATAAATAATCGTCGGAATCGTTGTTCGTTGGAACATCCAAAATCCTGGCAGCAACTATGAGTCCACTTGTGAGCTATATTTGACCACTTTAAACTCATTATTTTAACACGGTTTCTTCACAAAAGTTGTAGCCTTACGTCTTAGGAATCCACAGAATCAAACGATTTGCGATTCCGTGAAGAAACAATGGAGATATGCTCAAAATACCGCAGGGTGTCCAATTGTGACGGGAATGACAAAGTTGGTGAATTTCGATGTTGTTTCCACTCCCGCTCAGCCGTAAGGTTTCGGCCGATGATTTCCAGGTCTGTACCTTTGCGTTAGACTTGTCGAATCATTCATCACATACATACATGAACATATATGTTATTTCATATGTGAAAACCATTCCAAAATATATATGTGATGCATATATAAGTTATCTATATGTTGAGATCAAAATACACCAAATCCATAAAGTTAATATACACATAAGTAAATAAAAACTTTGGAAATCAACCCAACAATATGTATATGTTAATCAAAGGTGCTTAAAAGACTGAAAGAAGTATTTTGGACACTCAAAATATCAAGAGAAAGATTCGCACACCCAAACGGACGACGCAAACGGTCGACCGTCGTGTTAAACATCGAAATGGACCCCGACTGTCAGACAAACGGTCGACCGCCGCCTGTCCAGCCAAGTGCCGCCGTCCACCTCCAGTCAACAACGGTCGACCGCCGGTCAACCACGGTCGACCGTCACGGTGAATCTCCAATCCGACCTGATGAAGATGTTCCAGCTGGCAGCGCGGTTTGCCAGCTGGCAAGGCTCGGGGCATCGAATTAATTTACTATAAAATTAGTACAAAGTAGGTTTATTTGATTACGTACTAATATATAAGTATAACAAATGTTTAACAAGTACAGTATAGTAAGTAAAGTAGTGTGTATAACATCGTATAGTATAGTATACGTACGGTAAGAGATCATGCATAATTGCGTCTCTTATAGCGTGATGTGCGGGACTTACTAGTCCGACATCACCCGTTCCGGGCTTAGTGTACGTACATGGTATTCAGGTTTCGAGTACCACCCCTATCTTTCTAGTCTCACCTCATTCGTGAGACTAAGGCCGCGTGAGTTCGTCATACAAAATGGGCGAATCTCATAGCGCAAGGGTGTCCTTGTTCGTTAGAATCATGCATCATGTTATCATCATCAAGTACATTGATTACATAGGTGTCATGTAATCATCATTAAGAACAATCAAATTGATTAAATGTGAAATCATGTTATCATCATCAAGTACATTGATTACATAGGTGTCATGTGATCATTATCAAGAACAATTATATTGATTACATAGGTGTCATGTAATCATCATCAAGAATAATTATATTGATTAAATGTGCCATCAGGTAATCATCATTAAATGTCCACCATCATAAATCATCAAACTGAACATACGAGATTATGTGCCATATCATGAATATTATTATACATTTTGTGGACGTATATTTATGTATATGTATATGTCTATGAATTGTTCTACAATTCTAGCGTGGTACCACTCAGCGGTTTCGCTGAGCGTGTAGTTTGTATTTTTCGTTGACTACACGTAGGTAACAAGAGGACAATGACGGAACCACTCCCGGAAGGCATTGAGTTAGAGGAGATGCAAGGATGGCAGGCAAATGTTTGATCATCAAAGAATTTAAATGTGTCATGATTTAATTATTATTGTACTTCCGCATTACTCTGAAAATATATTTTTTAAATGGGTCGCGATCCAGAGTCTGTAAATTTAATATTTATAAGTAATTGTCATTTTCGAATGTCAAGCGAAATTTTTATTTAACTCTCGTTTCACCTTAATTCGTGTAATTCCGGGTTATACGGATTGGGGTGTTACAGCTTCTCAGTCAAGCACATATTCCTCTCAAAATTATAGTCTTATATACTCATTGCTTTAATTTTATTTTTTGCATGGCAAAAACTATTCATCCATTGTCGTAGATTAACCCTTCGAGTGAATGCTGGAGAGTTATGGTTCGTGTGGTGAGGCTGTATATGTTACCCACATTTGGTGATGAGAGAACAACAAAACTCGATTGAGATGATCTTCATGGATGAACATGTAAGTCCTTCTATAAACTCGATTGAGATGGTCTTCACAATTCAAACTTGGTTGTCAAAGACTTAAGGAAAACACAAACCAATTTAATTCATTTTAACTATAAGTTGTAAATAATTAGATTTGAAAGAATCTAAGTTATAGTCAGAAAGATTGTTTAAATGAGTTTGAAAATTGGATCAAGAGCACTGCCCATTCTCGAATATTTAAAAACCCTTCTATAATAAACTTTAAACTTTGTACAAATGGGGTTTTTTTGAGGAGCTTGATAAAAAAGACATGTTGACTAAAATAAACTTTAAACTTTGCCCAAGTTTTTTGACTAAAAAAATTTGGACTATATTGATACCGATAACACAAAAGTAAAGCAAAAAAGGGATTATATATGAATTCATAAAATCAGGAGTTGATCAGACTTTGTTGCAAATTATTCTTCTCTTGCCTTTAGTGACCTTACAACTTGTTAGATTCTTAAATGTATAATTCATTTTTTCAACTCTAGGCGTTTATCTTTTTATCCAGTTTGTACATCTTTCATAAATAAACTACAATTGATCTCCATGTTGGCCATTTGCATAGTATAGTTCAAATAAGGGCACTGATTTTTTGTTGGACAGTGGATTGACATGGCTATAATTAAAGAAAATAGGGAATCATCTGTGTGATATCAAGCTCCCAAGCCAACCATGAACTGCCACTTATCTATATAAGCTTTAACCTCCCAAGCCAACCATGAACTGGAAAAAAAAAGATATATGTCAAACCTCTCTTTTAAGCAATGCTTCCATTTCATTCATATTTTTGAATGCTTCTTCTTCATCATCATCATTCAAGGATCTATAGAGTGAAACTGAAGGAATACTTAGTGCTATGTTTACAAAATGCATGTAGTAAGATCCCAGATCATTTGCTTCAATACACCGTGCATAAATAAATACCCTCTATTTAAATAGACTTTGGCCCAGATCCCACTTTGCTTAAAATATAATGAAAGTAACATAATGAATACCCAGATTTTAACCCCTACTTTCATAATATTACCCTCTACTTCATATTACATTTGCTTCAATACACTGTGCATAAATAAATACCCTCTACTTTGTAGAAGCAGATTGTAAACACTCCTTTTTTAACTTTTTATTATATCAATGAGTGTTGATTTTTGGTTGATAACATTAAAGGAAGTACAATTCATGCAACGCTTCGAAGAAGTTGGTCGGAACATTTGGGAATAAGATAAAGGAAGGTTCGGTGTATGTGTTTGCTTATTTTGGCATAGGCAACAGTAGTGGGTATTATCGCACGTCAAGGCATGAATTTAGGCTTGCGAGAAGATTCTTGTATATGGTCTGAAGCTGATTGCTTTTCCTGAGATCTTCAAGAAAGATGCTAATTATCCCTATTTCGTTGGAAATGCACACTTACTTTCCCTAACACATTTATTTAAACTTTTAACAAATATATAACTTTGTAATTCATTATGATTAGTCTTGCAAAATATTTCACACACCATGGGAACATTAACTTCTTTCGGCAAGGAAAAGGAAATAGTTAAAGAGTCAAAAAGAAAAAAATGATTGTGATAACCATAGAGGCAGAAGGGTACTGTATTACTATTTTAAGCTTATAACATACACTTATATGTACTTTTGGTTATGTGTTTATGATTCTTTTTATATATATTTGTAAAATTAGTATGAAGTTGGATGTGACTCTATTTGGGGAGCATGTTGACATGCTTAAGAGCTTCTTCTAAAAGCAGCCATTACATGATGCCGTTATTGTAATTCAATATGCCAAAGTGAATACATTCCAAGGTATTAGTAACATATTTACTTCGGAAATATGATTTTTTTAATTTTTTGTTAATACACTATTGTTCAATAATTCAAACTAACACGTAGTGGTTAGCAGGAAAAAGTGTTTTATAGAATATTATGTACGGTACCCGTCTGCTTTTGAATCGAGATGTAGAAGAATTCACCACATTTAGAAAGAGGTAGGTCTATTCATCTCTAACACATCATGTCTTATAAATTTTCTGAGATACAATTCAAACTATTGCCTCACTACATTGCTATCATAAAAAAACCTTTCGTGCAGGAATTCGGGAGTAACAGCGCAACGTCAACCTCTAAAGTGGACATGTGATGACGTTATAAGTTCACAGGAAACTGAGTTTCTTGATACATCCCGATCGATGGTGATATCTCAGCTTAAAGCATGTCTTGAGGTATTTTTTTCATTCTCTAGATTTGTGGGCATTGAATAATGTTGTATATAAAGGACATAGAATCAACAATTATTATTTGGTTTTATATAGATGATGTTATTAAGCTATAATAGATATTTCATTTGTAATTAAAACAAGATGGTTCATATGTAGTGTATGGGACCATTGTGGTAGTCAACAATAGCGGAGATTGGTGGTATTTAGCTTGCAAGTGTAATAGAGCAGTGAAACCGGATGGTGCTATGTATTATTATGTGCATTGCATGTGCCGTGTTCTCAATGTCACTCCACGGTTTGATTATAATATCTTCACTTATCTTACAGTTTCTCACCTATGTATAACTTATGACTAATGTGATAACTGTTTTTTTATAAATATTTAATCAAGCTCATCATCAAAGATGATTCCGTTCAGACTACCTTTGTTTTATTTCATCGTGAGGCAACCTCAATTCTAAACACTTCTTGTGTCATTTTGCTTGATAAAGCTGATTCTGTAAGTTCTCATATGTGGTCTAAATGGTTGTTTCTTTTAGTTCTCATACCGTTGTAAAATCTCATTGTTCTCATATTTTGGCCTCATGAAAAATGGTTGTTTATTTTCTCTGAAATATCAAATAGTAATATATATTTAAACACATGAGACCATTTGCATGGAAACTGATAGAGCCATCACTTTCATGAGTGTATATTTAAACATACCATCACTTTCATTAATGTATGTGTGCATGTTATCAAACCCATCCTAAATCAGGAAGGAAACTCTGAAAGTCCAATAGAATTTGGTGATCGTCTACTCGGGAAGACATTTCTTTTCAAGGTCGAGGTCCGATCCATGTTTAGGAGTCGTCACGAATAGTTTTTTAGGGTGTCAAACATATGTCATGATTCGGAACAATGGCTAAATATTTAGACTATATTCGTGACTTCAATGTCAAACCCAATGTTAACAGAACTGAAATGACTTACTCCGTACAAGCAGAGTTTTTAAAAAACAAAGAAGCAAAAACAATCGAGGCATTAAAGGATTGTGCTAAGGTTTGTTTTGTCCACTTCAACGATTGTATTTTCCTTTGATAATTTGAAATAATACATATAATACATTTCTTATTATCTGTGTTCTAGATGGTGAATATGTAGTATATGGAACAATCAAAGGTATTGATTGTGGTCTTGATTGGTTTATAGCGACATGTAGATGTGGCTCGGAAGTGATGCCGCGAAATGGAACTTATTATAGCAATGAGTGTAATAAGCGCGTTGTACATTTGATTCCAAGGTTTTTTCCTAATTACATCTCAGCTGATTTCATATTATATTAAAGTCTTTAATTAATCAAGTGTATCATTCACTAATGAAAAATTGGTATCGAATTAAGGCCAGGGTAATTGACACCACGGACAGTGCCACTTTTGTCATTTTTGAAGATATTGGAAATCTCTTGCTACATAAATCGTGTTCAGAGATGATGAAATATTGTGAGGTACTATTCACATATGATGATAATACACTTTGAACCCATTTATATGTGAATTTATTGAGTTAGGACCAATGTGTTATCTTTCCGCCACATGGACATTCCTTCTGCATTTCTCCACATGGACCAATCTGATTTCCTACCTTAGCATTTTCCAAGTTCTAAACAGACGAAGCTCCATGAACAATTGGCAAATCAGAAAAATAAAAAATCCCTTTACCCCCACCCCCGACACACACACACACACATGTTTGTTTAGACATACATGGCATAATGTTATCTTTAGACATACCATTTGTTTAGACATACCATTTGTTTGGTTAGGACCAACGTGTTATCTTACCACCACGTGGACATTCCTTCTGCATTTCTTCACATGGACCAATTTGATTTCCTACCTTAGCATTTTCCAAGTTCCAAACAGACGAATGGTATGTCTAAACAAATGGTATGTCTAAAGATAACATGACATAATGTTAGACATACCAATTGGCAAATAAGCTAGACAGAACATGGCATACTGTTATCATTAGACATACCGTTTGTTTGGTTGTGAGCCACTATATGAATGGTCGTCTTAGTCCATACAAAATCCCACCAGCCACTTACGTTACCATCATAATGGAACAATGTGATTGTGAAATTCAACAGTTGAAGAAACTGAACAAGGAAAAAAATTAGGCAAGAACCATATGACATGATTATCCTTCACATGTGAAAATGAAATACTCCAATATGATATGGAAAACACACTACATGTTTGTACATTTTTTGTGTAGAACTTTTGTAACACCCCGATTCGCATAACCCAGTTCACACGGGTTAGCGGATTAGAGCGCTAACAATTTGGTAAAGTAACATTACATAACCTTATTAAAGGTAATACTAACAGAAATTTAAAAACATTTAAAACATAGTTTCCTCAAAATATGATAAAATAATTATCGGAGTAATTTAATTTAATCGTTGCGGAAGCTAAATAAGATTCAACATATTTACATGTATGGGTTCAAGTCTAACAATACTTTAAATTATTAAAAACAGTTCCCGCATCCTTCTGCTATCTGTCCCGCCTCAGCATTTTGCGGATCAACGTCATAGCTTATTACCTACGCACAGTCACACAACAAAGACAATTGTGCGCTCAGCGAAACCACTGAGTGGTACCACATATATGCGGGAATAAATACCCTTTTTAAACCCTTTTATTTTAGAAAATTCACTCAATTTCTTTTTGGGAAACCTTTAATTATAAAATTCTGACATTTTTTTCATTTTATGAAAGGTGTAAGAACATCTCTTTGTATAATAATATGTATCCAAAGTACTCATTAAAAACAAGGGTATTATTTCTAAATACACTTTATTCATCAATTGACAAACCATTATTTTCCCATCATCTTGAAAGTTCCACTTCCCACAGTGTACGACCTGTACCAACCTAAGAATAGCAAGTTGTGGCAGAGGATGCTGAAGCACTTTCTAATACTAAGTTGTAAAACAAAGTGCTTCACCAATTACTGAATAAACAATCAAGAACAGAAAACGAACAACACACAACACGCAAATTGTTTACGGAGTTCAGAGCAATTTCTCCTACGTCTGCGAGGCCCACGTCAGTGTAACAGCCTTCCCACTAAATCAATTCAGAGTTTACACCCTCAATGTCAACAGACTCGATCTATCCATTGATCTAAACTCAACAACTCAATGGGATGCAATAAACTCAGTTTATGCAGAAATACCGAGACTGAAACACTGAGCAACTTATCTAAGACGTGTTCCTGGCCTACGCTCCAGCTCTTCTCAGTTCAACTGTCTCGAACGTTTGTTAATCTTCATGCAGAAGGCTATTCTGCATACCAGCCATATGTGTCCTTCAATCTACTTGGTTGATGAACTTTATACTCAGGATTCTCTCTTGATATCTTTTATCTCTGTATCCCCACACTTAAACAGGTAGATCTTCCTTTTATTTATACTTGCAAGGCGAGATTAACCCTAGTAGAATCCTGATACACCTCTACCTCCGAAGTGTGCTTATCGGGTAGAGTCCTTGATATAGCTTTCTTCCAATTTTGCACATGTCTATAAACACCTTTGGAGCTCAGAGTCCTTCAGTCAGGCAAACCGCAGTCCTTCTTCAGTTAGTAGAGTCCAAATGCATTTGGACTGTTTGAGTGACGGACAGGACGCTACAGCTCTATAAACCACATAGCTAGAACACGCTGAGTACAAAAAACTGCTACACATGGTAAGGGCAGACACAGATCATAATGAGCAATAATGCATATCAAAAAAACCATAGAGGATATCCAGCATCAGCAAATCCCAAGCAAAAACATTTGAATCCACAAACAAGTCATAAGAGAGCAAAACACATACTCCTGATAATCTAGAGGCAAAAAGCAACCTCAACAGTAACACAAACCAATAAAAACAGATTTTTGTGATATCAAGATCATATCAAGTAGAATCCCCTTCCTCACTCTCCCCCCTTAGAGGGATCCTCCTCTCCATCAGAATGCATGCTTCTAGTGGCCTCCTCCTTTGTGTCCGTATGCTCCAAATCTGGAATTGCCTCCCTAGCCTAGTGCAACAAGACCACCAAGTGACCTTTTTCAATCTCTAGCTTCTCTTTCAACTAGGAGGTCCTGGCTAACTCCTCTTTGACCTGCATCAGTTTCTGCTTCAGGAATTTCACCAAGGAGGGTGCCTTTTCGATGTTTGCAGTTGTTGGACCAGCAACCTCCATGTCATTGTGATGTTTTCCCTCCATGTGCCTGCTGTCCACTTGGAGTTGTGGCTCTTCTAAGTCCTCCTCCTCCTTTTCTTCTTTGCTAAACCCCTGCGAGACCAGTAGGCTGTAGAGAAGTGTTGGATAGGGAAGCCCAATGGAGTTGACCTTGTATTTCTCAGCTGCAAAGAGCATTATTTGATCAAAGATTAGTTGTCCTAGGTCAAAAGGAATGTTGTGCTTAATCTTGTAGAGAAGTCTGGCCATAATCTTAGAGACAGTGTTGGTGTGTGTAAGATAGCATATGAACTTTTGATCCTTGAAGAGTCACAGACTTCAACAGTTTGGATTTTTCAAGGAGGGGAATCAGATTGGTCTTGAGTTTAAAATCTTCCACACCAATTCTTCTTGGAATAATAATGGATTTCTTGTGCACATCACTGAAAAGAGACCTAGCTTTTGGGGAAACAAAACGAGAGTGAAGAGACTTTCGTGTTTTCATCACTGGAGTGACCTTTGCTGCAGGGTCCATAGGAGAGGAGGATGATGATTGCTTCTTCTGGGGTGGTGCTTCTGGAATTAGGTCTTCCTCCAGCTTCAACTTCCGCTTAGATCTTCGTTGAGGAATTGTATTGGGAATCACTTTCTTCTTGCTCTTCTTTGCTACAGATTCCTTCTGGAATGGGACTTTTGAGACTGCAACAAGAGGATCTTCATCTAGGATTTGGATGAACTCTTCGTCTTCTTGAACTGGAGCATCTGGTGGAGACTATGTTGGCTCATTGATGGTTGGTGCTGAATCTGGTTTCGGAACTTCAACAGTCTTCTCTTCCACAGATTTGTGATATTCTATGCAAAGCACCTGTGGTAGATCTGGGGCTAGTACATGTGCTACATCATCTTCTTGCTCTTGCATGTGGGTGATATGTGTTGAAGACCCTTGATTCTCCATTGTTTCCTTCTCATCCCTTGTTTCTTGAAGTTTTTTGCGTACTTGACAGTATCTTTTAAACTAGGAGGGCTGATATTTGGAGACACTTGGGCGATTGAACTTCTGTGGTATGGCAGTCTTGCTTCTCACCAAGTTGTGTTGAAGGTTCTTGCAGAGAGTTAGGGTTTCTGGGAAAGAAAATCGGAGTGGATGAGTGTGGATGAGTCTGGCCAGGTGAATCGGTTTTCCTTCTATTTGGAGCATATATGTGGTGTGCCTTCTTGTTTCTTGAGAGCAATATGGTGTCAGATGGTTTTTGAGAAGCGTGCTTAATAATGTCACATATATTAAAAAGTGTGCCCCACACTATCCTTTCTCATTTCAAAAATCCAGCATATGACATGGCGTGTACACTCTGAGCTGGCTTTTAAGTGTCCACGTGTAAAATAAATGAATTAGAAAGGAGCACAAAGACCCAGATCTGATCTGAGCTTCTCAAATCTGTTTCCGTCTAGTGCCTTAGTAAAAATGTCTGCAAGTTGTTCCTCTGTTGGGATATGTTCCAAAGTCACTGTCTTATTTTCTACCAGTTCACGTATGAAGTGATGTTTTATATCTATGTGCTTGGTACATGAGTGTAAGACAGGATTCTTTGAAATACTGATTGTACTTGTATTGTCACAGTAAAGAGGTATTGTGCCATGACTGGTGCCATAATCTGTTAGCATTGACTTCATCCACAATAATTGCGCGCAACAGCTCCCAGCCGCTATGTATTCTGCTTCAGCAGTTGACAGAGACACTGAGTTTTGTTTCTTGCTCATCTAGGCTACCAGATTTCCTCCAAGAAGAAAACACCCTTCTGAAGTACTTTTTCTGTCATCTATCTTTCCGGCCCAATCAGCATCACTGTAACCTGTGAGGTTTGCTGTACCACCTTTGACGTACCACAACCCTAGATTTTGTGTCCCTTTGAAATACTTCAGAATTCTTTTCACTGCCTTAAGGTGTGATTCTTTTGGATTTGCTTGATATCGAGCACAGACTCCTACACTGTAGCATATGTTTGGCCTGCTGGCTGTTAGGTATAGTAGACTTCCTATCATCCCTCTGTAGTTGGTAGGATCCACATCTTTTCCTAGATCATCTCTGCAGATCTTCTCATGTGTTGGACAGGGTATTCGAGCACTTTTGCAGTCACCTATGTCGAATTTTTTCAGCATATTTTGAGCATACTTTGTTTGAGAGATAAATATTCCTTTAGCCGCCCGTTTGATTTGTAGACCCAGGAAGAAGGTTAGCTCACCTATCATGCTCATTTCGAACTCTGTCTCCATGACTTTTACAAACTGATTTACATGTGCCTTTGAAGTTGATCCAAACACAATATCATCAATATATATTTGAGCTATCAGGATGTCTGAGTCATACCTTTTGAAGAACATGGTGTTGTCTGCACCTCCTCTTCTGTATCCTTCTCTTAACAGATATGATGTGAGTCTCTCGTGCCATGCTCGAGGTGCTTGTTTTAGCCCATAAAGTGCCTTCCTTAGTTTGTACACATGCTCAGGATGTTTTTGGTCAACAAAGCCCATGGGCTGAGCCACATATACTTCCTCTTTTAGATACCCATTCAAGAAGGCTGTTTTTACATCCATCTGATATAGATTCATGTTGAGTATACATGCCAGGCTGATGAGAATACGTATTGACTCCATCCGTGCTACTGGTGCAAATGTTTCTTCAATGTCTACTCCTTCTACTTGTGTGTACCCCTGAGCCACCAGTCTTGCCTTGTTTCTTATGACATTTCCTTCTTCATCAGTTTTGTTCCTGTAGATCCACTTAGTGCCTATTACATTCACCCTGTCTGGTTTTGGTACTAGTTCCCATACTTTATTCCTCTCAAACTGTTCTAGCTCCTCATGCATTGCATTTATCCATGCTTCATCAGTAAGAGCCTCCTTTATATTTCTGGGTTCTGATGTTGACGTATAGTAAGCCTTTGTCATCTCAAGAAAATTTATGGTCTTTTTCCTGGTCTTGATCCCTTCTGTTGGTGATCCGATGACATTCTTCAGGGGATGATTCTTTTGAATATGTGTGGGAACAGTAGATGTCTCTGGTTCTTGCTCCTCAACTTCAGTTGTTTGTGTTTCTTCTGGTTGAGCTTCTTGATCTGGTTCAACAGGTGTTATGTCAGTTGCTGGAGCATCTTCTGAATCATCCTGGTTCTTTTTCTCCATGCGATCATCAACAATCACATTTGTAGACTCCATGACTGTTTTGGTTCTTTTGTTGTAAACTCGGTAAGCTTTACTGTTTGGAGAGTACCCAACAAAGATAGCTTCATCACTTTTGGGATCAAACTTCCCTTTTTTCTATCGGTCTCTTAAAACAAAACACCTAGCTCCAAAAATATGGAAATGAGCGATGCTTGGTGTTCTTCCCTTCCAAAGTTCATAGGGAGTTGACTTTGTCCCACTCCTCACGTATACCCTGTTGATAGTGTAACATGCTGTGTGGACGGCTTCTACCCATAGTTTCTTAAGCAGATCAAAAGTATTTATCATTGTTCGTGCCATCTCCTAAACATGCCTGTTTTTCCTTTCAGCTACTCCGTTTTGTTGTGGTGTCTTTGGTGCAGAGAACTCATTCCATGGTTTTTCAGAACTCTGTTTTTCAAATTCACCTCCATGGTCACTTCGTATTCGGATGACTCCTTTTATTTTCAGCTGCTTTTCATTTTGTACTTTGTTGCAAAGAGCTGCAAAGGCTTCTAGTGCATCATCCTTGTGCTTCAGAAAACTCACCTAGGTGTACCTTGTAAAGTCATCTACCACCATAAGCACAAACCTCTTCCCTCCTATGCTTTCAGTTTTCATGGGACCGAATAGGTCAAGATGGAGTAATTCAAGTGGTTGCTGAGTTGTTCTAAATGTCTTCTTTGGATGACTTGAGTGAACCTGTTTACCAAGCTGGCAGGGTTTGCATACCTCATCTTTAATTTTTGTGATTTTTGGTAAACCTCTCACAGCCCCTGAGTTTGACAGAGTTGCAAGATCCTTGTAATTGATGTGCCCTAGTCTGTAATGCCATAGTCTGGTGTCTTTCTCACTTGCTGTGTAGCACAAGATGTTGGGGCTCACTCTATAACAATTGTTTGTGGTTCTGTCGCCTTCTAGCACAACCAACTTGTTTTTGTCCTTTACTCGACATTTTTGTTGAGTAAATGTCACCTCTAAACCTTGATCACATATGTGACTGATGCTTAAGAGATTTACCTGTAATCCTTTGACTAGCCAAACATTCTTGATAGGTGGAAGTCCAGTGAAATTTAATGTTCCACATCCAATGATCTGTCCATGTGCACGACCTCCAAATCTGACACTGCCTCCCTCTATCTCCTGCATGTTCTTCAAGCTTTTGTTGTCTCTATTCATGTGATGTGAGCATCCACTATCCAATAGCCTTTGCTTTGGAGTTACTCTCATGCATGAGTTTGCATGTGATGCCACATGCTTTTGCACCCATATCTGCATGACTCTAGGACTTCTCTGTCTTCCCCTCTTGGTTCTACGACACATCTTTCTAATGTGCCCCCATTCTTTGCATCGATAGCATCTGTAGTTTTCATACGGATTTCTTGTGTATGCATGACGCCTCTGATTTTTGTGTGGTGTACGAGTTGTTGTTTGTGGAACTTTAACCGGCGGGCTGTCTATCTCTTCCCTGGTGTCACTTCGTTTGATAAAGAGATCTAATGGTGTTTTGGTTGATTCTCCTTTTGGATAACCCAGCCCGGTTCTATCTCCATACATCTTGGAGATGTCAACTTGATGTTCAATAGCTCTTGCCTCTGTGCTCAACATCCATTCTTGTGAAACTCCTGCTCCTGCTTTATTCATCCACTTCTAATACTTTATGTGATGATCAAGCTAATGCCTCGGATTTGCATTTTCTGTTTCCTTTTGATTCAGCTCGTGTTGCAGCTTCTCAACAGTTTGTTCACAGATCTGTAATTTAGTTTTTAAGAGGAGATTTTCAGATACATTCCTCTTGTTAATATCAAGCAGATCACTCCACTTTTCTTGGAGTATCTTTAGTTGCTCTTCAGAATCTTCTTGTACTTCTAATGAGACAAAAGCGCAGTTACTTTCTCTATCAGTATCTTCAGTGTCTAATTCTTCATCACTCCATGTTGAGGCAAACGCCTGCCTTTTCTTTTTCATGTTGTTTGCACATTCTGTTTGAATGTGACCGAAGCACTGTGGTCCTTTTCTCCTTGCTTCTAACGGTTGTGTTTTGAATTCCTTCTCTTTCATCATTTTGGTTTGAGAACTTCTCTGAGGATCTTGCATGAAGACGTGTTTCCCCTTTTTCTAGAGCCACCTTTTTGTAAACTGTTTGGTGACCAGTGACAGCTGTTCTTAAAAGTCATCATCTGATAAGACATTATTTTCTAGATCTAGATCCCCAACCTGAAATGCTATTTGTTTCTCTGTCTTCTTCTTCTTTTGTTCTCTGACATGGCCTACTCAATAGTTTCAAGATTTCCCATTAGTTGATCCAGCGTCATCCTCTTTAGATCATGTGCTTGACGTATGGCCTTGGCATCAACTAAATAGCTTTCTCGTAGGGCATGCAATACCTTTAGAACCAGATTGTCTTCTTCAAAAGGTCTTCCAAGACGTTCTGCTTCATTTGCCAAATCTCTCACTCTGCCATGAAATTCAGTGATACTCTCCTTGTCTTCCATTCTGAGATTTTCAAATTTTGTCATGAGAATTTGGTATTTTGCTGTCTTGACTCTCTCATCTCCTTCATGGGTTGTCTCAAGAATCTTCCAAGCCTTCTGTGCTTCTGTTCAGTTTGCAATGAGTCTATATTGAGAACTGTCCACTGCTCTAAATAACGTATTTAAGGCCTTGTCATTGCATTCAGCAGCTGCAGCTTCTTACTTTGAGTATTCCTCAAATGTTTTGGGAATTTTTGCATCTGATCCTTCAACTGTCTTTGTGGGAGTCTGCCAGCCAGTTTTAACACTTCTCCAAACTCTTCCACCTTGTGATTTTAGGAAAGCCTTCATGCGCCCCTTCCAGAAGTTGTAGTTTGGTCCCCTTAGCAGTGGTGGTCGTTGTACATTTGCTCCTTCTTCCATATCTCCCATATTTGATCTTTAAAGCTAGTATCTTAAGCTTTAATGGCTCTAATACCAATTGAAAGTTTCACTTCCCACAGTGTACGACCTGTACCAATCTAAGAATAGCAAGTTGTGGCAGAGGATGCTGAAGCACTTTCTAATACTAAGTTGTAAAACAAAGTGCTTCACCAATTACTGAATAAACAATCAAGAACAGAAAAAGAACAACACACAACACGCAAATTGTTTACGGAGTTTGGAGCAATTTCTCCTACGTCTGTGAGGCCCACGCCAGTGTAACAGCCTTCCCACTAAATCAATTCAGAGTTTACACCCTCAATGTCAACAGACTCGATCTATCCATTGATCTAAACTCAACAACTCAATGGGACGCAATAAACTCGGTTTATACAGAAATACCGAGACTGAGACACTGAGCAACTTATCTAAGACGTGTTCCTGGCCTACGCTCCAGCTCTTCTCAGTTCAACTGTCTCGAACGTTTGTTAATCTTCATGCAGAAGGCTATTCTGCATACCAGCCATATGTGTCCTTCAATCTACTTGGCTGATGATTTTTATACTCAGGATTCTCTCTTGATATCTTTTCTCTCTGTATCCCCACACTTAAAATGGTAGATCTTCCTTTTATTTATACTTGCAAGGCGAGATTAACCCTAGTAAAATCCTGATACACCTCTACCTCCGAAGTGTGCTTATCAGGTAGAGTCCTTAATATAGCTTTCTTCCAATTTCGCACATGTCTATAATCACCTTTGGAGCTCAGAGTCCTTCTTCAGTCAGGCAAACCGCAGTCCTTCTTCAGTTAGTAGAGTCCAGATGCATTTGGACTGTTTGAGTGACAGACAGGACGCTACAGTTCTATAAACCACATAGCTAGAACAAGCTGAGTACTAAAAACTGCTACACATGGTTTTTGTCAAAAAGAAAGCCAACACCAATGACAAAGAGGCTAAGACACACCCAAGGAACCAACACATCTCATATAGAAACAAATCCATATCTAATAGTAAATCAATATCCTTAATTTAACCAATTACTATACCATAATAGTGACATCCCTTATTCTCAATCATTTATGTTTTAACCTCACACCATACTAAGTCGTTTTCCGTAGAGGTAGATTCGATAAGACTTCCCGTGTCTGAGTCTGGGTCCGAGCGCCCTTCTCTTCAGGTTCAGAATTTGTTTCGTGGCCTTTCCCAGTCTGGGTATAAATACTCTTCTGGTTCTGGACACACGGGTTGAGTGATCCCCGGGTGCCTGACTGGTTCAAGGACCTTATGTACGTACATACTAAACTCCTAATATCGCTCACATCTATACACTCAAATCCATACTATATACAACTAGATATAATCTAGATTTAAACTATCCAAAAACACCTTTTTGGTTATTAGTGTCGCCGTCAAAATCATCGCTTTTACGGATTTGAGTATATAAAGTTTTACCATAAAGTCTCCAACATAATATCGTTCATAATATCATTTTAATCATTAGACATCATTCAATCATGTTCATGGTTTGGATCATGTTAGGAACTCAAGTTTAACCCACATAATATAGTACTATAATTCTTTTAGTCTAACTCGTCCAATGATATCATTTGATTAATAACACATCTTGGAAAATATGATTTGACATACTCAATTTTGGTATTAGAGTCCTTATAGTCCAAAACATTCATTTTAAATATTTTTGATAGTTATAATATGTTTATAAGTCAATCAAACCAATACCAAACATTTATCATCCATACAATATCGAAAAACGGTTAAAATTTGAGTTGGAACGTTGGGTGATCGATCCTCGAAGGGGTGATCGAATCAATTCTTGGTATTAGAGTTCTTATAGTTAAAAACATTCATTTTTAGTGTTTTTGGAAGTTAAAATATGGTTATAAATCAATCAAACAAATACCAAAGATTTATCATCCATACGACATCGAAAAACGATTCAAATCTGAGTTGGAACGTCAGGTGATCGATCCCCTAAAGGGTGATCGACCCCCCGAATGATAAAAATATGCGTTTTAACAAAAGCTGCTCCAGAGGATCGATCCAGAGTCTTGGATCGATCCCCCAAACCATAAAAACAGGTTCTAGAGCTCAATTCTATCACCGGGTGATCGATCCAACCCCAGGGATCGATCCCCTAACAGTTCCTGTGGGTTTTTGGGTTCGTTTTAAGCTACGGGATGGCTCCAAAAGTGTATATATTGAATATATATATACTCTACTTTGGATCTATAAGTTGTGTAGGAACATTTTGAGGGCTTTTTTGTAGAATTTCGGGCATTCTCCGGTATCGACGATTCATGGGCATCAAGTTGAGCGTTTATCGAGACTATCGATATGACTAACATAAAATGACATGTAGGTATATGAAATAATGTATTATGAATGATTCTAAGGAATCTAACGTCAGAACGAGTCTGAGATACAGACCTTAGAATTCATAGGGGAACACAATGATCTTAACACCTCACGTACGTTCAACGAACGGACGTCACTATCTACTTCTAGCTTTCCTTTTCTTGAGGTCTTCTCTTCAAACCTTGATATTGTAGAGGTGTATAGAGTGAGAAGAGTGTTAAAATGACTATAATAACGATTGGAATAGAACATACTCACTTACCTGGAGTTTTCTTCCCAAAACTCCATTAATGGTGGAAAGAAGCTTGATGAAGAAGAAAAACTTGCAGGGATTATTTTGGGAGTGTGAATATTAGATAGGGGGTCTCCCCTTAAATGAAAATAAGGGATGCTCTTTGGGTCATCTCACACACACCCCACCACCACCATAGTCCAAAGGTGATGAGAAGGAAGGTGGGTGTGTGTTGAGTGGTTTGGGAACAATAGTTGTGGTGATTGATGAAGGAGTGGGAGTTGTGTTTAATGGGATTTGATGGAGAATCCAAGGATTTTCTAAGGGGATGAATGTGGAATTGAGATAAAATCCTTGTCCCAAAAGAAATAGTTTATCTGTTTGAATTTCGGGTTATTTTCCAAACGAAGTCCGATTTCGAAACCGATCATATTTTTGGACTTAGAAAAATAAATGGAACTCAAATACGTAATCAAGATATTTTTCCTAATATTTTTATTTTTCAGGCCGTCGGGGCCCACACAGTCAAAATCGGCGATTTACGTAGTTAATTCTTCTAGACCGGTTTTTGTGGCGTTACAACTTTGACAGTATTGATTGAGATATCCAACCAGATGCTTTTCAACGATTCTTGATTGATAAGTCATTCCTTTTCAAAGTTGAAGTCAAGACTGAGCGCTTCAATGTATTTGAGCCTACTTACCATGTGATCGAAATTTGTCTCAATCAACAAATCATTACAAAATACAAAGATCTGAACTCTATTTTCTTCACTGCCTAGGTTGGAATTTTCCTCTTATATATTAAATGCATAATGACTATTTATTCAACTGTAAAGTAAACTCTATTTAACATGCTAATTCCATGACATGTCTTTGGTATAATGTAACGCCTCGAAAAAAGGGCCTATCAAAATTAATTAATTGATAATTAATTAATTAATGAGAAGGACCCAAAAATAAGTGAATTATAAAGTTTGTCTATAATTAATAAAAATAATATCGTTGTGTAGAGTTTGACTGTCTAGCTTCAACGGTTCAATCGGATTTCAATTTGGAGAAAGTTGGAACAAAAAGTGTACCCCGACTGGGACCAAATATTAGTCCCAATCAGGGACTACGTACCAAACGGCGCCCTATTCAATTACGCCGATTCCAAAATACGAATCACCGCTCAATCACGGAAACAACTAGTCCGTGTCTTCTTCTTCTTCTTCACTGGCCTATTTAAGGATAACCATCTTCCTCATTTCTCCACCAAAATCTACAATTCTTCATCCTATTCTGCAGTTCTGAGAGAAGAGAACACACTAGTGCTGTCAGCTTTGTGAGAGGTCGCCAAAGCAGTGAGATATAGTCGCCGGAAGTCTCGCCGGAAAATCTTCAAAACCTCCATTACACTTCGAGGTAAGCCCGTAGATATATCTAATGACTAGAATGTTTGTATAGATCGTTTCTACGTTCATAAACGCTAGTTTGGTTGTGTAACGCCCCAAAATATACCCTAGAATTATTAATGAATAATTATACAAGTAATCAAATTGTTTTGATTAATAATAATAATAATAATAATAATAATAATAATAATAATAATAATTGTTATTGGGCTTTGGGCCGAAATGAAATATGTTTTAATATCCAATATCAAAATCTAGATAAGTCTCGTAAAGATAAATCCAATATGTTGACTTATTGTGTGACCTTACTTGGGAACCTGAGTGCAGACCCAAATCAAGGACAAATGAAGAAATTTGTTTATGATATGAACTTTGAAATGATTTATTAAAATAAATCATGAGAATAAATAATATGAATGGAATGTGAGAACCTTTTTGAGTAATGGTCAAATAAATCAATTTTGACTCTGTCAAAGTCGACCACCCAAAAATATGATGTCGGAAAAAGTATTACAAATAAATATGAAAATTATATCGTTCGATAGAGTTTAATTGTACGATCACAACAGTGCAAATGGATTTCAATTCGGAGAAAGTTGGACCAAAAAGTGTTCCCCGATTGGGACCAAATTAGTCCCAATCAGGGACTTGCGTTTGGAATCGTAGAGATAGGCCGTCTGCTCCACTAAGACGCCAAAAAGGGAGAATGGAGTCATCATCGTGTCTTCTTCCTCTTCCTTCTCCAATAAAAGACTACCACAACTCCCTCCATTCTTCACCATTTCTTACAAACTTTCTATCTAATCTATTGTTGGGAGTGAGGAGAATGCAGTGGTGCTGTCATATTGGTGTGAGGTCGCCGGAGAAAGCCACAATCGTCACCGGAAGTTTTGCCGGAAAATCTTTAAAACCTTCATTTACCTTCAAGGTAAGCCCGTTGATATATCTAGTGACTAGAATGTTCGTATAGATCGTTTCTATGTTCATAAACGGTCGTTTGGTTGAGTTTTGTGTTTTACATGCTTCAAGAACAAAGAATCTTAAACCATGAAATTGATGTTAAAACTATGAATTAATAATTCCAAAATGATCTATGAACCTTGGAGAACATCTCTATATAGTTTCGTTGAAGTTCGATAACTAAAAATGGTATTTTTGAAATTGGACCCGAAGGTTGAAGAAGATGAACAGTGCTCGAAAATATGCAGAGAGGATCGATTATACCTCTTGGATCGATCCCCTGGGCATATTGTTTTATATCAATGATCGATCAAATGCACTGGATCGATCCCCCGAATTTCTGATCCAAAAATTTGTCTGAAAATGTTATTTTTGAGCTCTAAATTCTTATTTTTTATACCAATTGATTATGATCATTATAAAAATGATTTTTCACATTAAAAGTAATATTTTTAACAAATAAAATGTTATGTGATGCATGACGGTAAGTTAGGGTGTTAACACCCGAAGCTAGGCCGCTAATTGTTATTGAATATTATGTTGATTGATGATTATGGTAAGGATTATTGATTGATGATTATGATGATTAAATCTTAATAAATATTCTGATTAAAAATGATAATTGTGAATGACTAAATCATAATGAATATATTGATGATTGTGAAAATAATATATTGTTAAGGGTATCTAGAAGGCCTCTAAGATATACCCATATTAATGTTGATTTGAAAGGTATCTAGAAGACCTATAAGATATACCTATTTAAGTTAGGCCTTGAGAGTATGAACCCCAGTTGCTAGGGTTAAAACGTACGTACGGGATCCAAGAATCAAACTTGAGTACCTACACGTTTGGGGTACCACCCACCCAACTGTGAACACTACGCTGTCGGTTTCTAGTTGGCCTTAAGTGAAGGTAAGTTTAATATTTTCAAAACCCTTTTATCTTAAACTAGGCCTAGCTTAAGGATTATTTAGGAATACTTTATACTGGAACATAGTTTAATTATTTAAACTAGAATTCATTTAAAGGTTGACAAATATTAAAGTGATTGGCCTAAGACTAAGAATAGTATAAGGATACTGTTGAATATTGAATATGAATAGATATTGAATTGAATGACGGATAAAATGTGAAAATAAAATAATGAATGTTGAATATTGACTTATGATTAACTCCAAAAAATGCTATCATGATATTTTTCCACTCCAAGACAGAAATGAAACAATTTTTAAAGCAAATATAATATTTTGATTAATCATAATATGTCATTTAATGCATGACGGTAAGCTAGAGTATTAACACTCGAAGCTAGACCGCTAATTTCTATGGCTTTGAATGTTACGTTAATTGATGATTATGATGTATGATTATTATGGATTAATGATGAGGATTCTTCTGAATAAAATGACGATTATGAAGTATTGAAATAGAATCAAAATAAATGGATTGATGAAAAATGAGTTGTATTGTTAAGGCTATCTAAAAGACCTCTAAGATAGACTTCAAATTACAATGGGCCTTTCGGGTATAATTATGTATATTCGGTGGCCTTGGGTAAAACGTACGTACGAGATCCATAAACCAAACTAGAGGAACTCGTTTGGGGATACCACCCAACCCGACAGTTAGTATTCTGCTGTTCGGTTTTCTAGACTTGTACCTTAAGCGAAGGCTAGTTTAAGAGTTGGTAAATTAATCGGGAAATATGCACCTTAAACTAAGGACCTAGCTTAAGAGATGGTTAGAAGTACCTTAAACTAGAATAAGTTTAAGAGTTGGTAATTATCACAAAAATTGGCCTTAGACAAAGCATAGTTTAAGGATATTATTGAATATTGAATATTGAATGTGAATGTTGATTATTGAAATATTGAAATAAAAATATTGAGAATATCATGAATGACTTATATATTGTGTGCATGATATCAAATGATTGTTTGTGAATTGAAATTCAATTTATGTGGATGTTCGACGCTTTAGATATGCTTACTCAGCTTCACCGCGGAGCGTGTAGTGTGTTTTATTTGCTACACGCAGGTAGGCAGAATGAGTGATTGGCATGTTCCTGGCAGCGGAAGGGCGAGACTATCATGGTGGAAATTGTGATTTTAAAATGAATAATTGTGTTGTTATTAAATATGGTTTGAATTGCTTCCGCACTATTATTAAACACTCCGTATTTTGCTACAATTATGTATTTAATAATATTTATGATGAATAAAAGTATTTGAAATGTTTTAAATTTTACGATTTCCAAGTTAATACTTTAGTCCGAAAGGGGCTGCAGACCTGGATGGATTATGGTGTTGCATATAGACTGATGTGACTCTCGGATTTTCAACTACTGAAAAAACATCAACGCATTGCATCTCTATTCGTGAAACTTCATCATGCGTAAAGGTTAAACTTCACATACTATCTTTACTTTTGTTTTAGGTATAGTAAATGACAAGCTTCAGATACGTGACGTTAATTGACAAACACTTTATTAATTGTCTTGCAGAATTTAATAAATGAATTCGTGGAATCTGAGGACAATCAAATGACAACGCTTGGTGATAAGATGTCGACTTTAACACCAGTTAAGAGAATGCAACACAAGGAGTCTATGGATAAAGCGGGTGATGAATCAATAAAGAAGATAAGAGTGTTAAAATAGAAAAAATATAATATAAGGCTCACGTTTGGTCTTTAGTTTCCTTTGTTTCTTCTTTTTTTTTTCTTCGACTGCCAAGTGCACTCTCTCTCTCCCATTTTTTTCCTTGCGTTATCCCTTTCTTTTCATCCTCTCTTCCTTTTTTTTTGTACTTCTCTTCTTTCTCTCTTTTTTTTACTTTCTCTCTTCCACTTTTTTTATTTTACTCAATATTTAAGAGACCCAAAAAATATACCCCTCTGTCTACCATAGATCTTCCAGTCACTATTCACAGGGTTAAACTTTACTCACTTTGTTTACTCAATTTTACTAGTATTTTCATAAAATAATATAGTCTTGTCACCTCTAGTTTTGTAGAACTTTTCATGTAGCTTATTACTATATAAATTTTATTTTAAAATTTTACTCCTATAATCAATTAAATTGAATTGAAAATAAAGTTGGTCAAGCCTCGTAACGCGTAATGGGAAGATCATATATGGACGGAGGGAGTAATTTTTTTGTATTGGTGCCACGGGTGGCGCCAGTGATGGAAATCGCTTTTTCGGGGCGTCAACCCGACGAACTCGGTATCGGTTCGGCATCGCTCCTAACAATGAAATCCGGAAAATAAATAAATAAATAAAGTGGAGAGAAAGTATTTATACGTGGAAACATAAATTGGGAGAAAACTACGTGCCTTTTTGGGCGGTGTCATGCCAAAGGGAGAAACTTTTATTAATCTCGGAGGAATTTACGTATACATCATTGTCGAAATTTAGAGCCATCAATGGAGCTCTTAAACTCAAAATGAGAAGAATAGTACTAGGAGCTCTCTACCTTTTCTCTCGTTAGCTCTACATATTTAAAGGGTGAATCTCTCTCAAAAATCCATGTGAGCTCCTCTAAGATGTAAGTTCTTTTCTTCCCTTTTCCTGCGTAGCTTCCTTTAATGGAAGAGAGGAATAATTAATGGAAGCAAATAGGACATCCTCCATGTGAAACCCACATGGCTTTCAAGAGAATCTCTCTGTGGTTCCACGAGATATATTTACATCACTTCAAATATATTCTTTTGTCCACATACTTCTGATTCCGTCTTGAATAATTTATCTAATTTGTATCTTGGGCCAGACTGAATTAAGTTCACTTAACTCTTCAAATAACATTGGATTAGGTAAAATCCCTAATCCATCAATTATAGTTATTTTTATTATGTATTGTTATTCTTTCCTGCAAAAAAAGTTATTTTGCGCACTTTTATTGTATTTCTTACACGCACTATTCTTGCATTTCCTATTTTAATTTTAATAAACGTTAAATTATTTTAAGTTTAATAAAATAATAGTTTCAAGTAATTTTTTTTGTTTTTATGTTTTTATTTTAATTATTTTAACTAAAATAAGTGTTATAGAACAATGTTAAAACTTGAGAGATAAAAGAGAAGGGAAGGGAAAACATTTCTCTGAGGAGGAAGTGAAGGAAAGGAAAAACCGAAGCTGATGTGGCAGAAGAAGAAAAGAGAAGAGGGGGGACATACCACACAACCTTACTAATATAGAAACACTACTAGAAATAGTATAATGGCTTTTATTATAATATTATTATTGTCTTACAATAACAACAACAGTAATTATAATAACAACAATAATAATAATCACCATCTTTATCTAAATTTGAATCAGATTTAAATTGAAACCAAAATTCAATAAAGTGTTGTTTGTTACACGGAATTCAAATTTTGAAATTAGAATTGGGGATAACAATTTCAATTCTGTTTTTTGGTAGCACAAAAATATGTAGATTTAGAATTAAGAATGTCAAAAACGATTGAAATTAGAGAACTCAGTTCCATCCAAATCAATTCCATATAATTTCAAATCTCAATTCAATTCCGATTCTATTAATTCTGTGTACCAATCAGATTCTAATTTTAGACTACAAAAAAACAGAGCTAAATACGAAGTCAATTTACAATTCGAAATGAGAACAGGGTCCGAAGCCGAGCCAGCGGCCCGGATATATGAGATAATCAACCACCGCCACTTCATGTGTCTTTCTACTACCAGTTGTTCTCCGTGCTGAGCTTGCATCCCGTGTATGCACACCCATCTGTACCACGTGCATTGTCATCCTTATAATTGAGCAACTTGCAAAGCCTTGAACTTACCGTACTACCCTCATGCCTTTAACCTTTTTTTTTTGTAAAGGAAAACCTCATCCCTTTAACTTAATTATGCGTAATAAAGCTACCAATCATTTCCCATCAATATATTTTACTCAAGGGTGTGTTTGGTTGGATAGACAGGGAATGGGCTCCGCGTCTTCCATTTGGCTAATAGATTCCAGAATCTGCATTTTCTCCCCCTCCTTCAAAAATTGAGTACAATTCACTAATAATCCCTCCATCCTACCTTAATTGTTTCTTTGCAGATAACTATTTTTAACTGAACTTAATTTTAATTTAGCTTTTGAGTAATTTTTATAATTGATCCTTTAAAATTGAGTATTTTTATATTTAGTATTCTATTAGTGAAATTTGTCCTAAATAGGACTAAAACATAATGACTTTCCTAATGTAGGACTTAAACTTTTTTATTCCCTAAATAGGACTTAATAATGACCTAGTGGGAGGAATAATGTCCAGTAATAAAAGACATTTACTTGAATAATGACTAATTCATAATGTCAAAGGTCCTACATTGGGAAATAAAAACATATGGTCCTATATTGGAAAAGTCATTATGTTTTAGTCTTATTTAGGTAAATTTCTCATTCTATTATGGTTGATTATGGTTGTGGTGGGTGGTGACTTCAGGTGACAAACGATACATCAATAGAGAGCTCTAACAATTGTTATGGCAAGAATGATATACGACTTATGTGAAATGAAATTACACTTTTAACCTTCAATTTAATAGTAACATGATGGAAACTAGGGATGTAAACAAATCAAATATTTTAAATTCGATTCACGATTTGTATTCGAATATGATGATTCGAATTCGCGTTATTCAAATACAAATTCAAATTCAAATATTATTTTTGATTCGAATATTAATTAAATACAAATACAAATAGAGATATATTCGATTCGGATGATATTCGAATATTCGAATATATGTATATATACACAGACCATGTTTTCAACATCAAAAGTCAAGCAAAGTAATATAGTATAAAGTGTATTTAAAATACTAAGAATTCAATAAATTAACGTAACACGAAAATCTAAAGCATATGATTTTTAATAGTTATATTTTATAAAATATAATTTGTGTAAGATGCAGATGTATTAATGTTTTTATATACGGAATATAGTATAGTATAAAGAGTATCGTAAGTTAAATTACAAATTGATGTTGGTCCATCATATAAATTACACAGTATGATTATTCAAATATTCGTTTATGATTCGATAACTATTCGAATATTAATCAAATACTTATTCAAATCTTATTTTGAATTCGTCTCATATTCGGGTTCGGATTCGAATTCAAAAAAATTAAACAAATACAAATTCAAATATATCGGTATTCGCTTCGATTTGGTTCGTTTACACCCCTAATGGAAACTAAAAGATGAATAATACTCCCTCCGTCCCAAATTATTTGCAACGTTTGTTTTTTCAGAAGTCGCGAGAACTTTTGTTTATTTCTACTTTTTCATTGGTTATTTGATAAAATAAAATATTATTGACACCTCTTATTTCGAAGAACTTTTCATGTAGTTTTTTTATACGTAAATTTTATTTTTCTATTTCTATACCAATATGTAAATAAAATGAATTGAAAAAAATTGATATTTTGCCTCAGAAATACAAATATGACAAATATTTAGTGACTGGATGGAGTATGTAATTTGGTACCTATAAACAAAATAACGTGACAAAACATCACCCACACCCAATATCCCATAAAAAGGTGGTTTAAAGTTTTGATTGAGTTGACCCTAAGGTCAGTGTTTAATCAAAATCACCTAGCTCATGAAATTACGAAAGAACAATAATCCTAGTCCCTAGATAGAGGTTGAGGGTGTTTATGGTAAATTCTCATCTGAAAAGCAATACCAAATGGACACTAGCTAGGATCTGCTGGCCAATACAATTTCATCTTCCAAATAAAGCTGTAACGCCCTCTCCCCCACTGCTAGCCCAGAGAGTAATGTTAGATAGTAAATGGCCACTCATCTTAGGATTTCAAAAAACTGCCATTTTTGGTACCATCTCCTCCTCTTGGTACAAGCCACCTGCGCCTTCTGCTACCAGTACAAGGTTGGAGATCTAGATTCATGGAACATTCCCTCCTCAGGGAATTCAAAAGTCTATGCCAAATGGGCAAAACATCATGTTTTCAAGATTGGAGATTCACTTTGTAACCCTCTCTAATCCTCCGATTTCTTGCCTTGTTTATGCTTTCTGGAAATGGATTTAGTCGTTTTATGATATAAATTTGTGATTTTTTTTTTTTGCAGTTTTTTTGTACCCACCAAGTCAAGATTCAGTAATACAAGTGACTGCACAATCCTACAAGAGCTGCAACCTAAAAGATCCAATCTTGACCATGGACAATGGCAACTCCTTGTTCAACATAACAGAAGCAGGGGACTTCTATTTCATTAGTGGGGAAAAGGGTCACTGTGAAAAGTCCCAGAAAGTCCATGTTTTTGTGGCTGGAGGAAATAATTCTTCATCATCTTCTGATAATGCAGTCTCACCCACAGCTAATGGTCCATCTTCCTCCTCAGCAGCTGGGCCTTCTGCCCCTAATGTCTTTGGTTCTATCCCTTTTCAAGCTCCCCCTTCTTCGTCGGTAAAGGCTACATTCTTTTTCCATATTCTTGCTTCATGCCTGGGTTTATCTCTGTTCTTGAACAGAACCATATGGTGATATTGGAAAGGTCACAAGCTTATATGGGAAAAATGGCACAAATTATTTCAGTTTGATGAGTTTCTGCATTCTTGAAGAATTACATGTGGTTTTATATTTGTGTTAACCTTTTTGTTGTTGGTTCTTTAGAAACGCATTGGAGAGAACATTATTCTTTCAAGAGATGAACGATTAATTAACTTGTGCTGTTTTGTAAGTGATGCATTTATGTGAACAAACATACTCCCTTCCAATGATCTAGTAACACGACTCAATTCAAAGCTTAATAGGATTGCACATTTTTCATTTATAATTTTATATCTGAAACCATAGAGATTGTTCTTGATAGGATTTTCATAGAATGCCATAATGGCAAAATTTGAAGTCTTGCAAGAAGGATATATAGACTGAAGATAATAAATGAACAAAAAGATGTGAGTGATTTTGAAATATAGACCAGATTAGTGAGGGCGGATATGATGCCAAGAAGTGTGAAGATAATGGCTATTAAACAAGGATGTTGAAACTTGAAGTTGGTGTTTGTAACATTAGCAAACGGAGTTAGAGCAAAATTAGCCATAAGAATTTACCAAAACCACGACTCGATCGGGAACATGATCCTACTTTCTCATCTGTCTTGTGTGTGTGTCTCCATTTTTCTGTCATCAAATGTTCCTATATTTTTCTACAATTCAAATCTAGATCAATTGAAACTCGGTCCGGCCTAAGTTGAGCTAGAATGCAATGCATATAAGTGGCACCAAGTATCACAATTAAGAAAGGTCTGTCAAACCACCTAGTCCAACTCATAGCATTATAAAGTTCTCATTTTCTAAAAGCTTTCAGATGAATTTTTGGCGAGGCTTGGCCCTAGAACCCCTTACAAGTTAACATGTAATGGAGAAGAAAAACACAAAACCAGAGCATGCTTGTCCAACATTACTAATTACCAAACTATCAGCCAGTTAGTTCAAGCAACCTATTCATATGCAAATTTTCATAAAACAACATGATATTACTCCTAAAGTTTGAGGGAGATATAAAAAACGAATTTTTAACAGAAAAGACAAATAGTTCAATACTAATTGGATGAGATTAGGATAAGAATATGGCATAGACCAAAGCGCATATGGGATAGTCTCATGATAAGATTAGATTGCCATCACATTACAACTTATCCTTTTCTCTATTACTTATTCTTTTTAGAATTAAACCTGATAGGATTCATTCAATACAGACCTAAAGAGTTACTGGGTAGTGGTATTGTACTCATGTCCTATATTTATCTTTTTATTTTATTATTTGGATTGTCCTAAAATTTTCATCCACTTTCTTTTTTAAAGAAAAAGTCACGTTAATCAAATTATTTTTTCCTAATATAAATGATAGCCACACACATTCAACTTTATTAAAAAATGTGTCAAGTTAAGCAAATAAAATTACTGGATGGATGGATCATTAAAATGAAGGCAAATACTTGCATGGGCCTAAGGTCCATGGTGTCCATAGGGAACCTTTATATATTCTAGATGACAAATTCTTTCGTGATCCTTAAGTCTACATCCATTTTATAGACTTTAGTACATTATTACCACACAAAAATGTAAAACAAAATCGTCCTAAACCCATGAAAAATATGAAAAGATCTACATTTTATATTTGAATTTTAGGATGAGGGAAGCACTATCATGTGGATCTTAGATCCAAGTATCCAACATAGAACATCTCTTAAATGAAAGGAGAGTAACTTTTGTAAAACAAAAAAAAGTCATTCGAATCCCAGCCATGGAATTAATTGAATATTTTGTAGGATATTGTTATTTGTACCCTAAGAATTTGTATCCCATTTTGCACACCGGTGGGATGCACCAACATTTTGTGTTGGTGTAATGCTAATTTTTGTTAACGTAACAACACTTTGTGTCAGTGTAAATTTTTGTTAACGCACGAACACTTTATATAAGTGTGAACCATCAAAATGTTGGTGCATATGTAGCATGCTCCTATTTTGTAAGTATTTTGGCGGTATTTTTTATTATTGTCACCACGGATATTTATCCTCCAACATTATAGAAAAATTCAGGTTAAATATGTTGTCTATAAAATGGGCAACTTTAGTTTTTGAATATTAAATAAATGTGTTATCTCAACTAATTGGCTAAAATCCACGTATGGTCCTTCAACTTTTTTAGATATGCACCGTTGGTCCTTCAAGTATTTTATATCCATAAATAGTCCCTCAACTAATACTTTAGCTGCAAACGCGACATCCTATTGACGGTATGCGTTAAACTAAACGGTGGATAAAAAATGACCAAAAAGGGCTTTGTTTTATTTCTTATTTCATCTTCAAATTAACTTACACGTGCTCCACTACAAATTCCCACTGACGAAACACTTTCTACTGCTGCTCTCTCTCTCGTAAACCCCATCCTCAATTTCCTCTTTATTTCTCTAATCAATCTATGTTACTTCTTGAATTGGTTCTTGGATGTAGTCAACAAAATTAGCTCTCTTTAATGGCGAAAGAACAGTAAGAGTTCAATAGCATAATTAAAACTAGGGTTTTTAGCTTTATGCATCTCTATTTTAATGCTCTCTTTAATGGCGAAACTAGGGAATGTTTTTTGAAAATTTTACACTGTTAATTTATGGTATTTGGAAATTAATTTTGGGGTTATTTTTAATAGGAATGCCAACGACATGGAACTTGTTGATTTGTTGGTGTATTTTGGGGGTAAGATCGTGTGGGAACCCAACATTCATTATGAAGGAGGTAAAATGGTGAGACGAGCAGTTGACATTGAAAAGCTGAGCATGTTTGAGTTTAGTTATTAGCACGACGAGGTGGGTGGGAAAGGTGGCGTCAGTGGGATATACTACTCTAGTCCTGGGAAGAGTATTGCAAAGGGGGTTACGAGGATTGAATGCGATGCTCATTTGAGAGATTTCTTGAACGCACATATTGGATTCTCGCAAGCCAAGATTTTCCTTGAAGCTAATGAACCATTAAATTTGAATGGACTGGATGTAGATGAACCATTGAATTTGAATGAACCATTGAATCTTGGTAATAAGAGTTTGATTGAAGATGTCTGTGAATTTGATGATATCCCAGATGAGTATTTTGCAGACATGTTTATTAATGAACCTCTTGAGGCAGAGGTGGACAATGCTATGTCATCAGAAGATGAGGACTATGTGTCGTTAGAGGATGAAGAAGACTCAACTGATGATGATGAGGACCTTCCACAAGAGGCATATGAGGGTATGGAAGATTACAACAACTGAATGATGTTGGAACATACAAGTCTGCAAAGGAGTTGTATAAATTGGTGAAAAAAAGAGCCAGGGAGCAATTGGGGCTACAGAAAAAAAAAACAAAAATGGGGGTGCTACCACAGGAAGTGATGAGGCATTTTACTCAGACAATGAAGAGGAGTCTATTATAGATGACCTTGTCCATAAAGTTTTTCCAGAATATAATGACAACATGAATGTCAAAACACTAGGTATGGAGGTTGGACTAATGTTTGAGAGTAAGGATGAGTTCAAGAGGGTTTTTACAGATTGGTGAGAAGGTGGGAACTCATTATCTCCTCTTCCTCATCAGACGCTTCAAGTAATTCAATGTAGGGAGACACATCGATTGGCAAACTTCGATTGAAAAAAAATCACAATCGTCACATACATAGAAAAGCCTACCTCTATTCCCTTTTTCATCCACGTTGGTCAGCTGTATGCGGCAATGTTTTGGGGGGGTACATGCACAATTGACATGCTTGAAGCGTAGATCTAAGTCCGTCATTGCAAGCCTTGTAGTGGCAACAACAGCATCTCTCTTTCTTTTTTTGTTTATTCAACTTCATTGGGGTGATGCTATTATTACTCCAAGGAAATGTTTTTGCATTGCTACTGTGTGTTGGAGCCATATCTCAAATTGTGTGAATATGAATGGATTCACTTGGGTAAAGCAAGAAAAGAAGGGGATGGTGTCTGCAGCAAGAAAAGAAATAAATAAAGGTAAAGTGAAAAAGAAGGGTTCAGTTCGTGCGTGGGCTGTTAATTACTAACGGAAGAACCGTATCTGCCGTTAAAGTTAAATTAGTTGAGGGACTATTTATGGATATAAAATACTTGAAGGACCAACGGTGCATATCTAAAAAAGTTGAAGGACCATACGTGGATTTTAGCCCAATTAATTAGATTTGCTAATTATGTTTAATAACCACTTTCAAAATAAAAATTTTTGTAAGCATGACTTATATTTAAAACAATATACAGGATTCAAAAACAAAAACTGTCTATTTTTTGAGAGACAAACTCATTTAACCCTTAAAAGTTCTCTCTTTTAAATTGCAAAAAGTAATGCGCCCTTTTATTTTATAGATTTTTGAATTCAAATTTTATTTTTTAAAACTTTATGCCAGAGTTTTAAAAAATTAAATTAAAAATAAATCTTGTCAAATGTTGTACATCATAAATTATGACATTGTATACTTATTTTTAAAAAACTTTATGTTGAAATCTAAATAAATAAAACTAAAGTACTCCGTAACTCTTATAAACGTTGTACCATTAAGCCTCATACATGTGATGGTCGTACATGTGATGGTGAGTGAGGTTGATGCAAAGCATTTTTTAAAGGTAAGGTTGATGCGAAGACTTGATAGTCCATTCCTCTCTGAAAACTTTTCTTCTTTCTTTTTTATCCGTCCTAAAAAACATTTCTCGTTTCTATTAAAAAGCCACTTTTACCCTTTACTTTTTCATACCCTACCTATCACATCATACCTTTTTACTAATAATCTATCCATCAAATCATATTTTTACCCATCACATCAAAGGACATTTTTGGAAATTCAATACCAAAATACACTTTCTTTAAATTCATCTTCAAAATTAAAACTCTCATGTTTTCCGGGATGGAGGGAGTAATAAAAAAGGGTAAAGTTGCCAACTTAGGCTGTCCGGTGTGCCTACGACATGGGAAATGCCAAGTCACCAGCGAGGAAAGGGAAAATGAAGGGGACAATGTTCTCGCGTGGGAAGAAGAAGCTGAAAACTGAAAAAAAAAGAAGGAAAACAAGCGGGATGAGCAAGAAGCATATCCCATTTTTCCCTTCCCCCCGCACGCAGGGGGCGGTGTTCCCGCGTTGTATGGCTGCCACCTAAGCTTCCTATGGGCACACCCCATAGCCTTATACAAAGAAAAGTAAAGATGTGAAATGTAGATAACGAATGTAGAATTCTAATATTAACTCCCAGAGTTACAATAAAGCTAGGGTACCCCAA